CTGCTCCGCGGGAAGCCTGCTTCTCCCTCTCTCACTCCCCCTGCTTGTGTTCCCTCTCTCACTGTGTCTCTCTCTGTCAAATAAATAAATAAAATTTAAAAAAAAAAAAAAAAAAAGGAGGTTGGATGATGTTTTATAACTAATATCTACAATCTTGTTTCTACGACCAGAATCCAACACTAATTAAGAACTACGTGCCTAGAAAAAGAAGGGGGTTACAAATTCACTGACAATCAGAAGAAGAAATAAACTTTCTCTCTAGTGATGAAAGGTAAATCGTACCAGTATACAAAATGCAGACCAGCCATTGTCTGCTTTGCATTTTGTGCTAGGAGACTGTCCTCCAGGGCCTGATACTTACAGGCGGCCCAGAGATCAGCAGCAGTGGCATCCTGGGAGCCTGTTAGAAATGCAGAATCCTAGATCTGCACTGCAGCAAGGTCTTCAGGGACCAGGATGCACACTGACACTTGAGATGCTCTGCTCTGGAAAACTCAAGCTCATGTGGGTTTCCCGCTTTCCCAGGTAACAGGTATCCGGCATGGGTAGGTTCCTAAGTCTCTTCAGCTATATGCTGCCAATACACTTAGACCTGCCCTTCAGATTCAAACCAAACCCAAGGGTACCATTGTCTTGACTGTATGTGGCTTCTTCTCAGCCAAGTTCATGGACAGGTTCATATCAAAACCTTAATATTAGGACTTACGGTTTTCTTTTAACCCTGAAATTCTATTATGTAGTTGGGGGGGGGGAGGGAAGAATCTGAAGAGAGAGTATAAGGAAAAACCAAAAAATTCATTCTATTTTGGAATAAAAAGGGAATTAGTTAAGAAAAGTCTTCTAAATCTACCCTTAGAGTATTTTGAAAATCAAACAGGATCTTTCAAGAAGAAATGTGAGGTGTCTATACTTCACTTTCTTTTTTGAGCCTTAAAAATGGAGAGCTCCACTCAGACAATTCAGATGTTTGATACAAGGACTGTTGAATATTTAAACTGGGAAATCTAGGAAACCACTTTGTCTCAAAGCAAACGATTTACATCTTTTGGGGCATTTCCCTTGGGCACTTTAGACCAAGACAAAAAAATAACATGAACCAACAGCCTGTGATTTTGTCTCTCCTAAATTTCATCCTACATGAGTTGCTTTGGCAGATGACACCATAGAAGGAATTTTTAATGCAATTCACATACTCGTCTTCTTAATTAAGATCTGAGAAAGCCATATTCAAAAGAATTCACACCTACATGAGAATCTATTTTTAAAAATCCATTAGCGTGTCTGTCAGGGAGAGTATTTGAGCCAGGTTCTTGTTTTCTAGCTGGGAAAATGGAGACCCAGTACCCACCTTTGTACTGATGGAGGTCAGTCAGGTTCTCCTGGTACGTGAGGATGATGGTCTGGTACTGAGTGACAATCTGGCGCCGGAGGCTCTCCCAGCAAGGGGACAGATCCCCCAACTCCTCCAGCTCACACACTCTGCAAGGAAGACACACATACACACACACATATACACACACATACATGAGGCTGTGGAGGTCTCTTCCCTGGGAGAGGCACAGGTGTCCCAACCAAGCAGGAGAACAAAACGGACATGGAAGTGTGGTCAATGCCAGGGAAGGCCTCGGACAACGGCTACACTGCAGGTCTATACAGCAAGCAGTGGGGCACGGGACACACCACTCTAGGAGGACCGGCTGTATGACGGGCAGACCACTCACCATGTGGAAAAGCACAGAGGTGCTTTTCACAGAAACCCTGTCAAATGTCCGGGGAAAACAAAGTGGAGGAGTGGGGCTCTAGGGGAGTGGCTCCTTGCCTGGACCCCCACAGGCCACGTGGGACCCTCCTGGGAGATGAGATGAGTGGAGGCCCATAAGCGACTGCTCGAGGCCATCTCACTCACCGGTCTCGCCCGGGGCGGTTGTGAGACAGCTTCTCGCTGCCCCCACGTTCTGGGGAGGCCTGGGCCTTCCTACCTGGCCCCTAAGAACATTGCTGCAGAACCTAAAGCTGCCAAGCAGTGGTTCACAGTTGGCCGGCCAGCCGGCCGGCCGGGGAGTGGGGGTGGGGTGGGGGCATGCTCTGCTGTGCTCACCCAGCCCCCTCTGTTTCAGGGCTGTCCCTCGGAGTAAGGGACAAGGGCCATAGGGGGCTGGCAACTTTGGCTATGCTTTCTTTCTCCATGTGAGTAATGAGCTATCTAAATCTAAAAGTAGCATGAAGGCAGGGAAAGGGAGAAGAAAAAAGAGGATCTGTCACCTCCAGAAAAATAAAAGCTATATAAGAACTGAAACATAACTATCTTAGCTCAGCAGTAAATAATAGCTACATAATCAGAATAATGAAAACACAAGATGGACTTAAAAAAAGGGCGGGGGATAACCATATTAGGAAGCTGGGGAACGGGAAAGTACAAAAGACCTAAAATCGTCATCACAGGGAATCAGTAGCTAATCCCCAAAACCGGTTAAGAGAGCACGCTATACATTTATTTAGAAATACACTGGTATGCTCAAATGGCTAAAAGTGGTTGTTTCTAGGAAGCAGATCAGAGAGTAGAGGGCCCCGAGACTTAGGTCATTGTTAAAAGCCTTTCGACACTATTTGGTTTTTTTTATACTATGCATGTTTTCCTCTGTGGGGGAAAAAAAGCTAATTTTATGGAATCTACTAGATTGTCTGAAGTTAAAAAAGAAAGTTGTACCATTTTATTATGAAAATAGCAAAATCAAAGTAAAAGAGTGTGCACGCAGACGAGGCTGTGGTGAGCCGATGTCCTCGCTCACTGCTGGCCGGCTGGCCCTGCGGCCGCGGGTCCGCTCATGAGCACACGAGCCCCATCTGCTGGGGTTGCTGCTGGACCCTCTCCCATGTCTCCGCCTGTCTTTCTGCTCCTTCTCGTGCTTCGGGTGTCAGTTTAACGTTACCATCTCACAGAGGCCTTCCCCTGACCACCCCCCTTCTCACCACCCCTTCTAATTTCTGCTCCCAGCTCACACAGCTGGGGCTCGGGGAGTGGCTTCCACCTCTCCAGAGGGCCTGCCTTCCACGGTCTGTCTCGCTCATCGAGAAGCCTCCCCACACCACACACAACACCAACCACATGCGTGAAACTGGTGGGAAACACAACAACAACAAAACCATCAAAACCAAAGTTCTTGTGAAATGAGTCAACTCTTCAAAGTTATAATCTAGTACACCAAATAATGGGAATTTACACCACAGTTAACATTATAACACGAACACTGAAGATCTGTGCAAATGGAGATGGGAGTTAGGAAAATCTGCACAAATACGGAAAAGCTGAAAGGAAAAAATTTTTAACTAAAATAACCATAAAATAGTACACATACAGAGATAAAGCAGCTCATTGCATTATTCTTGTCATTCTTAGGTTGAGTTTTTTCAAGATAAAAAATTTTTAAAAATAGCTGTATTCAAACAGTGAGATCCTGACTGCACTGTGTCCTTTCACGTTCCCATATTGTGTTCATAATTAACACCATCTTATGACGTCGAGGAGAAAGGACATGTGAGGAAGATGAGCAACATGCTCAGCGATCTGCGGCGCTGAACCCCCTCTCGGGCTCTCCCTGCTACGGGATCAATGGAACATGCCCCGGGCTGAGAGATACGGAGGACCAGAGGGCCCAGATGGGTCACTCGTAGCTCTCTGTAGCCTCTATCAATGTGGCCCTCCCCTAGGAAACCGCTGACCCGGGTGGCTGGGACTCAAGAACGACCAGCCACTCCTAACTTTCTACAGGCCGACTGAGAGGGGAAAGGAGGCGGGGAGGGAAGAGAGCAGGCACTGCGTGCTGGGCACACCTTGGCTGGTGCTCCCTGCACCTTGTCTGGTGATGGCCTCGCACAGGAACTCAGGAAACAGGTGAGCAAACGCAGGCTTCAGCAAGCCAAGGCCACCAAGCAAGCAAGTGGCAGCGGCTGGGTCAGAAGCCAGCCTCCCGGCTGCCAGTGCTCTACCTACTGCATCTAAGAACTTTCCGGAAAGGAAAGGGCAGCCAGCCTGCCTCACCTGGCTGCGTCTTCCTCCAGCAGGAGCTTCACAAACTGCCGGGGCACGTGCAAGGAGAGCAGGCTCTCCGCCATCTGCTCCAGGATCCGCAGGTGGTTGCCGTCCGTGGTGGGGAACCGGTACATGCGGCAGATGGCGCCGCCGAACACTGAGGTGGGGGGTGCGGAGGGGACAAAGGCTGTGTGTGAGCCGGCGACACACCCGCCGTGTGGGCCTCCCTCCCCCGAGCCCTCAGTGGTGCTTCTTACTGTTCCTCTTGAGAGAATGAGAACATTTAAACCAAAGCCCACCAAAGTGACCGAGCCTGGCTGCTCCTCCCACTCCCGCCCCCCCACCCCACCCCCGCCACATGCAATCTTCTTGTCCCAGGACGTGGAACTGACTCTGGAGTGCAGGGGCGGGGGCGGGGGCGGGGAGGGTGTCAGTCACCAAACCCAAGGTAACACGAGAAAGAGTGGAACGAAGGAGGGACCCCCCCAACACACACACCCCTTGCTTGGAATATTACTAACTCCACATGCTGGAGAAAAGCACGGCACTTAGAAACGTGGCAGGGAGGTGACAATCGAGGGGGTGCCTGGCTGTGACAATCCGAGCGGGTGGGGAAGAAAGGGTGAGCACAGGCCCGAGTGGACACTCACAAGAGTGGCAAGAGTACCAACGGAGGAAGCTGTTTACCCGATTTCAGTAAAGTGTCTTTTCGCAACGAAGCATACTTGGATCGGATTCCCAGCGCCTCTGTCAAGCTCTCATCAACAGGGAGAACCATCTAATGAGGTGGACAGGAAAGCAGAGAGAAACAGTGAGACCCAGACAACTCCAGAACACTCCGCAGAAACGGGGCCCATGTGCATCATCAAAGAACTCTTTTTAAAGATTTTATTTATTTATTTGACAGAGAGAGGCACAGCGAGAAAGGGAACACAAGCAGGGGGAGTGAGAGAGGGAGAAGCAGGCTTCCCGCCGAGCAGGGAGCCCAATGTGGGGCTCGATCCCAGGACCCTGAGATCATGACCTGAGCTGAAGGCAGACGCTTAACGACTGAGCCACCCAGGCGCCCCATCGTCAAAGAACTCTTAAAATTAGTACCCACCATTCACTCTACAGCAATACACTGCCCCAGCCACAAATTAATCCACCTGCCAGTACACTGCACTCAGGCCACGAAACACGATTTTCTAGTGACTAGGTCACTTCACCTGGTTCTGTGGTGTTGTGACGTACAGAATTGAGAGGCAGGAAACAGACGATGCTCAGGAACGTTTGCACAGCTGACCTCCCAGGCTTGTTTTGGGTAAAATGAGCTAGCTCCGTATTTTACAGCAATGACCCCTCACCAGTGTTTGGTACATTGGAATTGTAGTCTGAGAGCATGAGGGGCCTGTGCGAGCGACAGTGCATGGAAGACAGGGTGCCAGAGAGGGGGTGGAGGGGGGGAGAGGAGGAGAGGTATGTGAGAGGCTGCAAAGGGTGTGTGGATGGGAGGCACACATAAGGTGGCTGTGGGGCACACGTGTGCCTGGTAGGGAAGCTCTAACAAAACAGCAAAGGTAATCCAGGCCTCATTCACACCACCCCCTGGCCTCCCTTCCCTGCCTGACTGCAGCTCCTCTAGCCGGGCCCCCAACCAGCAGAACCTCGCATGTCATGCTCCCTGAGGGACCCCCTTCTCACTACTTCGAGCAGTGCCTAGCGGGGATGGGCACGTTCTGCCTAGGGGGCCCTGTCTTTCCCTTCCCAGAGCACAGAGGCCAAATCCATCTGGACAGATCCTCAGACTCCTTCCAAGAGGAGCAAGGCGGCATGCTCACCCTCCCATTGACGGTGTCCAGAGACCGGGTCACAGGGGGCCGCTGGTCTGACTTCTCCTCCATCTGCCAGCCGATCACGGTGATGTTACCCACGCGGTCACTCTCCGCAGATCTGCCACGAGCAAAGTGCTTTGAATAAGAGGCACTGTACCTGCGCTTCGTTTTCTGCTTAAATGCAAAGCTCAGCCACCCTGGGTCATCGGGCGGTCAGTCAGCCAGCATTCACTACATGCACAGGCTCCGGGGGAGGCAGACAAGGAAACCGTGAGAGCAGAGAGGAGGACTACGGCTGGGAGGGGACACAGCACCACAGAGAAGTGTAGATATGCTTGGGGTACGGTTGGAGGGGAAGAGCCAATGCTTGCTTGGGAGGCGCCCATCAGCCCCTGGGCTAACCTCTGCCCCAGAGAGTGATGAGGATGCATCCCGGAAGCAGGACTGGAGAGCACCTTCTTCTGGCACTGAACCCCCTTCTGTTCCTTCCCACCCACCTTTAAGCTTTAATTACACCCAAGACCTAGGCCTGGACCCCAAGTAAGTGGAGGGTTTCCCAAAGCATCCCAAAGATGGTATGATATAGTTAATGCCACTCTAGCCCTGCTCAGCTTCACCCCTGAGACCCCTCAGGTTGGCTGCCAGCAGCCCGGGCCCATCCACTTCATCCAGGGAGGCCCCAGGGATACCCTAACATCTCAGGCCTTTTATTTACGGTGTCTGACTTAGCCAGGTTCTAAACTTTTATGTGGTCATATATACTGACAATTTCTTTTGTGGCTTTTTCTCACTGTTCTAATGCCTGGAGAAGGGTTTCCCCATGTTCTCTGCTCAAGAGTCCTATGTAGCCCCTCTTCAAAAGGAAGATGTCCATTTCTTATATTTAGCTCTGGTCCAACTAGAATTAGTTCTGGCGCATGATGTACCTGAATATTTTTCTCTAGCAGCCCTTTGCCCCACACGACCCCTTGCATTTTCTGTAAGACCAGTCCTTCCTGCTGAGGCAGGCTCCCTATGCACACTGAGGGCCGAGCAAGGCTCTCGCTCTGCCCAATGCCTGCGACTGCTTTCACCGTAGCTTTAGAATGGTGCACTGTCCAGCAGGTGATTAACCCTTGTCAAATTTCTTTTGCTATTTTGGACTATCTTCCCAACTTCTACATTATTTTGAAAAAAAGAACACCATGTGTTGGGGTTTCGGTGAGAACTGTCCCCGAAATGAATTTGGGAAGGGCTGATATCTTGACCTCTTTCATCTTCCTTTCAGGGATACAGTGGGGTTCCCCTTCCTTCCTTCCCTCCATAAATATTTATTGAGCACCAGGCTCTGTTCTAGGTGCTTAAGATACAGCAATGAAGCAAAGCAGACAAAAACCCTACTGCCTAGGAGATCATATTCTATTGGGGAGGGAAGAGATGATAGACAAAAATATTGAGTATTATCAGATATGTATCTAGGTTTTCCTTTAGGTCTGCATACAAGAGGGCTCATATTTCCTATGATGGGCTCTGATGGGCTGAGTTTTAATCTCACTCAAGTAAGCAACCACCTCCTCACTGACACCAGCCTTTGGGAGGGGGCTGGGCCCTCTCTGAGTGCAGGAAATGGGGCCTCCCCCCATCTGTCCCTGGACCTCATAATTCTAGATCCTCTCAAGGGAGTAAAATTAAATACCAACCTTAGTGTTAAATGCAACCTATGATGCCTGTCCTGGAGCAGATCTTTGACAATGAATGTTCCAGAACCCAGTAAATACATCTGAGGAAGAGCGGGGAGAGAAGCCATTAGTACGCTTGCTTTGCCTCTGGTCCAAATACCAGGCCCCAGAGGAGTCCAGCGGGCTGGTTCCCACAACACATCTGACCCGTTCTCAGGAGCCCAATAGGGATGCTCAGGAAGAAATTCCTAAAGACGAATACATTTGGACATCAGTGACTTTGTGAGCAAAGTAGTGAAGTTAATCTTTGTTCACCTCTCACTCAGATGATTACAGAACTTAAAAAAAGGGAACAAAATCCCATGAACCACAATGTGTTACTTAACTGTTCCCTGAGATCGATCTTTGACATCATACACGGAGAGTTTGATTTGGGTCATCTGATTGATAAGAGAGTCTTGAAAGAAGGCAATACTGCTTAGAAATATAGGATTGTTGGTTCCCTAGAAGAGAAAGGAGAATAAAATCAGAATACAGAGTTGGCTTTTTCCAAGTAATTGCTTTGGAAACACACCAACACCTTCAAAATGAGACACTAGCCTTCTTACTGACTTGGATCAACACAAACACGGATGGTAGCCTAAATGGATGCCTACAAAACAAGCCCAAATCCTGCTTAGAGAAAGGACAGAGTAGTGTGACCTGCCCCGAAAGACGCAGCCACCACAGGCAGGCCCACCACACAGCCGCGCCCGCGGGCTCACTCTAAGAGCTGCTCGCTCACTGGAAGGGATCTTCTAAGAGTGAAACGAGCTGGATGTCCACGTTGTATTCTTGGTATCACCACTTCAGATGAGTGATGTATTTGGATCTCCTACTTTGGGTTGTTCCTTTAAGATGTACAAAGGCAGATGAGAGAAGAAATGAATGGCTTAAGTCGTTCCTTATTTCCAGAAGCCCATGGTTGGAATAATTAAGAACTGACCTTTTTAAGGCTATCCTTTTCAAAAGATGAGCTGTGAGTTTCTAGCTCATAGGTGGCCATTTCCTAGCAGCTTAGCCCTGCCCCCAGAGCCCCATAACATATTCTCTTTCCCAGGCAGTGGTTAACTATCTCAGCCAAATGGTTGAGTTCCTGTTTGTGCGTGCTGTGGGTTCCATGCCTCCAGCTATGCTCCCTCTGTAGCTCCAGATCCAGGCTCTCAAGGTCTGCTGGACGGCCCCTCCTGGGCAGCCTGCTGGGACCGCAGCCCACCCAACCTCACCCTCCATCTGCCCTTAGTTAAGGCCATCTCTGGCTCTCTTCCCAAGGAGGCTACAAATGTCTGCCTTGGTGCCTCTTTCTCCATCATTCTCAACCACCTAGTGACAATGAACTGCTCCCACAAACCCACCTCCAGGGCCTGTCACATGCACCCTTTTATCCACTGCCAGTCAGGTCCTACACACTCCCCGCAAGTGACTGTCAACTTAGGACCTCCCTGAAACACATCTAGTCAGGCGACTCCCCCCCAAAATGCTTGCACTGGCCCACTACAAACTCCTGGCCTGACGCTCAAGGCTTCTCTCCCTTGCTCCTCCACTTGGGCCTTTTGCACACACATAGCAGGATAAGGTTATTCTCCAAACCCACATGACGCTTTCCTGTTGCATGCCTTCGCGTGACTACCACAGAACTCTGGCGTGCTCTTCAACGCATGGTCCCCAGACTGGCTGCATGGGCATCACCTGGGAGCTTGTGACAACTGCAGAGTCCTGGGCCCCAACCAGATCTCTTAAGTCAGAACTTCACTAAGCACCACCCGAGGTAGCCTCTCCAATCCTCAGAGCTAGAAGGGCCCCCACCCGCCATGTGCTGCCCTCCTCTCTCTACTCCACCCCTCCCGACACAGCTGTGTGGAGACAGACCACGCTCGCTGCCTCCCCACCCACAGGATGGGACCGGGCCTCCGAGGTGTTCGTATCATCCACGGCGCCCAGCACTGTGCTCCACGGTGCAGGCAGTGCTCAGCAGATGCTTAGAAAACAAAACTGTTGATCTGAACTTGGAAGTAAGTTCCCAAGAGAATGAAAAAGGGTGGCCTACATTCCAAAATGTAAAAGGGGGAAGAGGAGGAAATGCAGTTTAAGTTTGTTTGAGACTGCTAGGGAGGGGTTAATTCACAGAGACGCTCACATCACAGCCAAAATCCTGCACAATCTCGCACAGATCCTATACTCAGTTTCATAACTTACATACAGTGCTCAATTATCTAAAAGGAGTTTGTAAAATTCCCAAGGTGAATGCACATCACTTAATTTAACGTAAAACGTAAATATAAAACACACAATGCAAAAGGATGTAATAAGAAAGCCAATAAAAATAGGGGTATGTCCAGTAAGAAGGCTGGTTAGTAGTTAACACTCTCGAAACTGTGATTAACGAACACAACTCTCCGAAAACAGCCACCAAATGACAATGACAAGGAAGAATGGGCCCTTTACCTCTTAAGAGGCAACAACCTTGTAGGATCACTGTTCAAAGACAACCAGCCAATAGCTCATCAGTAACTGTAAAGGATATGGCAAATACAAACACCACGCAGATGAATGTGGAGAGAAACATCAATGTACCGAGGACCCGTGGAGTGGCAGCTACCAGCGCTCCGGTCACCCGCAGCCCTCCCATGGAGGCTACAAACACAGCGCGAGCCCCTCGCACAGCTCAGGGTCGGAGCCAGCAGCACCCACCTCGATGATCTCCGTCTGCGCGTGTTTTGTCCAGAATGCCTGAGGAGGGGTGGTGACGCTCACTGCTACAAAACTATTTGGTTTTCGATCTAGTGATGGAGTATGCAACTCACTGCAAGCTATGGAATCAAGATGGGAAAGAAACAAGTCCTTTAAAATCAGCCTCTGGTTAGTTCTCGGTTCCAAGCACCCCCAGAGAAAGCAAAAAAAAAAAAAAAAAAAAGTCAGTGCCACTAAGGGGATGGGACAATCACACTGTCAGTCGTCATGTGGAGGTGATCTTTTACATTGGAAACAAGCTCTTCTCAATAGTCTAATGGCAGCTGGTCCTTTTGCTTTCATAGTGCATTTCACAACAGATAGTGTGTTCAATTCGGGGGATCATTTTTCCTCCCCCCTCCCCCCATCCCCCGCCCCCAGGACAGCAAGGCCCTAAGTGCCAGTGGAAGACTGAGCTGCTCTGTGTCCACGGACTAGAACACAAAGCCAACAACCTCACATGGGGTCTGACCCATAATGTTGGACCTTAATAACTAACTGAGCTTCTAACCCGTTGAGCTATCCAGCCACAGAATCAAGACACAGCTACACATGCCTGCATCCTATGGCTGTGGTGACTAGCCCTGAGCCGTGGTGCCCTGCAGGTCTCTGTGTGGATGTGTGTTGGAAGCAAATTTAAAAATCTGTGGCAGCATTAACAAAGGCTTTTGTTTTTTTTAAAGACGTCATTGCTCATTTATTCTCCTTATAAGACTCTTACCAAATGCAAGATTACTAAAAATGTTACTTCTTGGAAGTAACAGTACCTTGTAGAACTGTTTCGGTTGCAAAGTTTATTGTACTAATAAGCATTCTGAAATAGATAAGACTCAGATCATTCTAACACAGGAGTGACCCACAAGAAAAACGATCCCATTTCACTGAATCGAACACACTATCTGTTGTGAAATGCACCATGAAAGCCAAAGGACCCACTGCCGTTAGACTATGATATGCTATTGATTGTAAGACACTTTTTGATTAAATAGATAGTAAAACAGAAAAAAACCCACACATCTCAGAACTGATGAAATACATGGTAAATCGAAGTTCAACACTGGTAGAAACAACTGCCTTTTTTGGAGGAGCAATAATGCTCCCCAGACTGCTGCAAGTCTCTGGTCAGTTTCCAGAAATCTCAAACAACTGACTATGACCATTTCTGCCAGTGTTCTCAGTGCCTTTACAGAGGAGAGGATCTTTGGAGGTCCTTACTCTGCCATGCCTGCCCTCATCATTCCCAATTTTTTAAATGCTCACTGGTGATTTAAAATACAGAAATTGATTTTTGCTTCTGAAAAATAATTTTAGTTCTCTCTCCATTTGTATTATCTTCTCATGTGCCTTTATGAATTTTCACTATTTACTGGATATAATAAAATACAACGAGCTTAGGTTTTCAATTCAATTAGTTTTGACAATCATATGCACCTCTGCAACCATCACCAAAATAAGATGGAGAACTCCTTTAAAACATGAGACTAGAAATATCCCCCTCATACTTCCCAGTCAATTCCCCAGCCTCTGCAACAAATTTCTGATTTCCATCACTTTTGGCTGTTCCTGAATCTACGTTGTTGTATGTACTGATAATCATTCTTTTTTTAATTGATGAGTTAGATTCCATTGTATGAATGTATAAAAATTTATTTATCCATTCTGTTAATGGATGTTGGGTTGTTTCTGGTGGTGAACGATTGTAAATAAAGGTGCTAAAAACATTCCTGTTTATGGCTTTTTGTGGACGTGGGTTTTCATTTCTTTTGCGTAAGTACCTAAGAGTGACATTTCTAGGTTATAGCGGAGGATATGTTTAACTTTGCAAGATGCTAACAGTTTTCTAAGGTAGTTGCACCATTTTATAATCCCATCAGCAATGGATCTGAGTTCCTGTTGTTCTGCATCCCCGCCAACATTTGGTAGGGTTAGTCTTTGTTTTATAGTTTTCTGATGGATGTGTTTGAATTTGCACTTCCATGATGATTAATGATGCAAAGCATTTTTTCACTACGTGCTTGTTGTTCCTTTTTATAACTTCTTTTGTCAAGAGTCTGCTTGAGTTTTTTTGCTCATTTTTAAACTGAATTGTTGACTTTTTTATTGTTGATTTATGAGTATTTTATTCTGGACCTGTTCTTTCTCAGGTATATGTGTTGTGAATATTTTTTCCCAGTCTGTGGTTTATCAATTTATTTTCTTACAGATCTTCAGCTTTGTTTGTTCGTTAGACTTTTAGTCTTAGGAAGTGATAGACAGGAAAACTGTCCCTCCCTCCAAAAAAGTATCCACATCCTAATCCCTGGAACCTGTGAATATATTACATTACAGGCACTATGGCTGTGAGTAAGGTCATGGAACCTTGACAAGGGGAGATTATTCTGCATTATTGGTGTGAGCTTAACCACACAAGCTCTTAAAAGTAGCAGAGGAAGGTGGAAGGGTGAGTCAGAAAGATGTGACTATGGGGAAAAAAAGGCAGGAGAGATTCAAACCATGAAAGGCATTCCACCTGCCATTGCTGGCTTTGAAGACGGAGGAAGAGGGTCACAAACCAAGGAATGTGAGCAGCTTTAATAAATGAGAACCAGCTTCACCTGGCTGCTAGCAAAGAAATGGGGACCTCAGTCCTAAAACCACACATACACACACCAAAAAACCCTGAATTCTGCCAACAATATGAAGAGCAAAGAAACAAATTCTCCCCTGGCGCCCCCGGAAAAGAGTGCAGCCCTGCTGACACTTTGATTTTGGTGTTGTAAGACTCCAAGCAGAGACATCACTGAACCCACTGGATTTTTGACATAAGCAAACTATAAGATAATAAGTTTGTGTTGTTTCAAGGTGTTCAATCTGTGGTAATCTGTTACGGCAGGGATAGCAAACCAAAGCACAGAGTTAGGACTTTTTGCACTCTGTCCAAGAAATCTTTGCCTACCCTGAGGTTGGGAGTGACCCTCTGTTTTCTTCTAGAAGCTTTAACGCTTTATTTTTAAGGTTCTCTTCTATTTCTTCTGCTAGGTCTGCCTCAGCAGGAGTCAGGGATTTGACCATTTCACTTGCTCCCCCTCCTTTAAGCTATGTGTTTAAGTGACTGAGGGCCTGGTTTTTCTCAGCTCGCCCCTTCATCACGTGTGGGTTCTTAACACCCACGTGAAGCTGGAACATTTGGGTCTCTCAAGCACAAGTGACAGCAGACAGAATGAGGTATAACAGGTGGCCAAAGCCGGGAAGATGGGTGTCAGGTTAAGGGCTAATGGGCTAAGTGCCACCTTCAGAACACACCCTCCTATAGGTAACCGCTCTCCAGCCCCAACCCCCAGCCAGCTCAGGCTAAGTTTCACTCAGTGTTTATTCCTAGCCCAAGGGCCACGGCTTCCAAGACGCTTCCCCTCAGCAGCCCACAGTCACATGTCCTGTCTGTCGCTTACATCGCTTTGGCAAACTTCCAGAGAAGCCATGAGTCTCTGGCACGTAGGCCTTGTCTCTCCAACCAAATCATCTGTAATCCCAGCTGGGTAAGTGCTGTCGACGAGGCAAAGCAGTAAAATGTATTTTAAGTACATATCCATTGACTCGGCAATTCTGTATCCAAGTGTTTATCCCAAGGAAATAATCAGCAAAACGTGTTAATGATCTATGTACAAGTATGTTCACCGTGGTGGTGTTATTAATGGCAAATTGGAAAGAACCTAAAATGTCTGACAACAGGAAATGGGTTACAATAAATATGGCGCAGCCACACAGTAGAGTCTACATAGGCATCCAAAGTGATGGGGCAGATCCCGTGTTTATTACAACGAAAAGATGCCCATGACATTCTGTCACATGAAAAAAAAACATGTTAAGAATACTAGCATGACATGGGGTGCCTGGGTGGCTCAGACGGTTAAGCGTCTGCCTTCGGCTCAGGTCATGACCCCAGGGTCCTGGGATCGAGTCCCGCATCGGGCTCCCTGCTCAACGTGGAGTCTGCTTCTCCCTCTGCTCTTCACCCTACTTGTGTTCTCTCTCGTTCTCGCTCTCTCAAATAAATAAAGTCTTTTAAAAAAAGAATACTAGCATGACATTTTTGTAGATAATCCCATCACCTCCACAGGCAAAAAATTATTAAAAATTCTGTAGAGCACTGGGTGGGTGTAAAAAAATATTTCTGGAAGGATCTACACCAAAATGCCAACTGTGATTATCTCTCTCTGATAGGGTATTCCTTTCCTCTGACATTTTCTCTATTACAGGTTTTAAAATGAGCACTTTTTAATTTTAAACTTAAGATAAAATATTTGACTATTCAATCCTGGGCGACTATTCAATCCTGGGCTCCTGTTCCTCCTTTTTTTTTTTTTTTCATTGTGGTAAAAATCACTTAAAATAAAACTTCAAGCTGTTTCTTCCCATGTGCCTCATTCAAATGGCTATCATACTGTCCTTGATTTGCCAGAATCAGAACTATCCTGATTTCTGTCACAGGGGTGAAGATTTTTACCGATGTGACATCAACTCTAATCCTGTCTCTACACTCAATCAGTTTAGTGGGAATTTTGTTGTTGTTGTTGTTGTTAAATCCATGTTCTGCATTAGTAAAGCTCAGTGAATATTATTACGAGCCAAGTGGGGTTTCCTTCACTTCTCTCCTGTGTTGGGCCCTGTTTCCTGGGTCCCACGTCTTCCTTTTTCTCAATTTGCTCCCTCTTTTCGGTGGAACATATCCTCCACTCGCTTCCAGAGAAAGGATGTGGGAGAAGTAAGTTTGAGAGTCTGCAAAGCTGAAATAAGTTTCTTTCTCCCCTCACATCTGACTGAGTGTCTGGCTGAGAAGAGAATCCCAGATTATAAATATTTTCCCAGGTACATTAAAGGGCTCCTCCCCGTCCTCAAGTTCCCAGGGTCGCTGAGAATCCCCTCCGCACTAGTTTGACCCCGATCCTTGGATAGGACCTCTTTTGTTTCTTTCCCCCTTTCTCGAAGTTTTAGGATCTTCATTTTATTCCCAGTGCTCTGAAATTTCTTCAGGACATGCCTTGTTCTGGGGCTTTTCAATCATTATGCTGGGCCCTGGTAGGCATTTTTGGAAACACACTTTTCAGTTCTGACAGATTTCTTACCTTATTTCTTGGTAATTCTCTCCCTTCCACCCTTTTCTGTTTCCTCCTGTAAATGTTGGGCCTCTGAATTTGCTAATTTTCCATTTCAATTTCTCTTCCATTTTCTATTTTGCTTTAAAATTTTTACTTTGGGGAATAATTCTTTAAATATCTTCCAACGTTTTTTGACTTTTTAATGTATTTTTTTAAAGTCATATCTTAAATGTCTAAGATTGCCCTTGTTCTTCAATTTTTTTTTTTTTTAACAGCGTCCTGTTCTTATGTTACAAGTATGCCATCTTCTCTTGAGGATATAAATTATAATTTTTTGATGTTTTCTTCTACTTCAATGTCTGCGTTTCTTCCAAGTTCTGTTTTTTCCTGCTGCTTCTTTCATGTGTGGGCCTTTCACAAAGGCCTTTAATCTTTAACCATTCTTACATTTTGTTTTAAATCAAATTTGAGGTATTTATATATAAAATGTGCCCATTTTAAGTGTAGAGCTCAATGAGTTTTGACAAGCGTTTACATCCATATAACCACCACAGTCAAGATATAGAACATTTCCATCGCCCAAAGGGTCCCCTGTGCTCTTTCCAGTCAGTCCTCATCAGCACTCCTGGACAACCAGCTGATGGGTCTTCTGTCATTGTGGATTAGTCTTCCTGAGTTCCACATAAACAGAATCATAAATACACATCTGAATATGACTTCTTCCACTCTGCACAATGCTTCTGAGATTCATCCACATATGTATCAGTACCTCATTCCTTTTCCTTGCTGGGTGGTACTCCATTGTATGCATGTACCATAGTGAATTCTGCTGATGGATATGTGGGTTGTTTCCAGTGTTGGCTATTATGAATCAAGCTGCAATCAGCATGCATGTACCAATCTTTATATGCACAGAAGAATGCCCATTCATTTTTAAGAATGAGGTATCAGAAGGCTGAGTGTGAGGGTGGGCTGGATGGTCTCCACTACAGTGCCTGGGTAGCTGGCTGGCCTACTTTCCACTGGGGTCCAGAAAGCCGGCATCTGCCTCTTTGCGGGGAGTGGCAGTGAGTGGTTGACTTTCTCCAGAGTGAGAGCCTCCTGCCTGGAAGAATAAGCCTGGCCAAATTAGGATAAGAGGAAGAAGGCTGGGGAGGGCCAAGTAGGGAGTTTGTTATTCAGTAGACTTCTGGCCCTTTACCATGCTCTCCTCTGTGCTGATGGACCTCAGCCCAAAGCCTCTCTGCCTCCCAAGTTTCTTACGAGAATAACCACCAGTCCCTGCAGGACTGAGAGAATATGGTGGGAATCTGAACCCCAAACTCTTCCTTACACAAACTTTCCAATAAGCCCCTGCTTTAGTCTCTGAGCTCCCCAGTATCTTTGGGACAAATCCACCCACCCTCACAGACAAGCAGGTTGTGACCACACTCCTCTCCATCTGCTCCCTCCTCCTCATGGGTTACATTTTGGGGGTTCCAGAAATGTCTCACTGCACAGAGTGTGTGTTTCTGTTTCTTATTCTTCCTGGCGTTTGAGATGATTTAAGACAAGGGGGTGGAAATAAGTTCACTCTTCTCTTGTAAAACTGGAAGTCCTTGAGTTAGTATTACAATTTGTGAAGAGCAAGAAAGCTCTAGGTTGGGAGTGGGCAGCTGTGGGAATCCCAGCAGGGTTACAGGCTGCTTCCCCCAACCCCCTGTTCCCAGTTCACAATGTAGGACTCCCTCCCACTACAGAACTAGCCAGCAAGCCAGGGTTGGGAAACCCTCTGAATTTGTTTAGGGATATTCAGTCTGAAATGGGGATGTTTTCAAAGTTTAGTATTAATTTGATAATATTGCCCTTACATTTTTAAGGATTTTTGTCATTAGTCAGAGTTGTTTGTCTGATTTTGCTTTGTTTTAAGCACCATAATCTTCGTTGTCTCTCAAATGGTAACACCCCTTACAGCACATGAGGAAACTGGTCCAGCAAGGTCAAGCAGCAGGTTCAAGGCCATGCAGTTAGTTTGTGGCATGGTCTGGACTAGAATCCTGGTTATCTGACTCTTGAGGAGGTGCTCCTTTTATGTCATACCACCTCCTGGACACCACGGCCAGGCCACAGGCCAGTGCTGATCACCACCCAGGGGATGAGGGAAGGGGAGGGGAACACAGAATAGTGTCAGGCTCCGGAGGAAAACCGTCTGCGGCTGACCCCACCAGGCACTCCGACCTTCTGGGTAAGCCACAGTAATGCTGTGCTTCCCTGATCCCAGAGCCAGCACATTCTACTATAGTTTCTTAGGACAACTTTAGGGATTCAAGCCGGTATTTAGGACATTCTGACACTGCCCGAGAGGGAAAGCGCTAGCTGTCATTGCCTCCATCATTCCCAGAGCAGGGAACAAGGGCTAGACAGCAAAACTCAACCGCACGGGCCTTATGGCTGGGGCCTTATGGCTGGGGCTGACAACACTGGCCCTGAGCCAGTTTTCCCACCCCTCCAGCCCTCCCCTAGGAGTAGGGAAGCCGTCCTTGCAGCTCTTGGGTGCTTACCTCCCACGCCCCCACCACGGCCAGCCTGGAGGGAACGTATGCTGAGGAGACCCAAGGCCTATGGGCCCCAGGTTCCCTCCCACACATGGGACATGCACACCTGCCTCATGGCTTCATCTCAGAAACACTTCGGCAGCAACAAGTTCTCGGATACAAATTCATGTCAGGGTCCAGTTTTTGTTTTTAAGCAACATACATTTTAAAACAAACAAAAAATTCAAAAAGATACCTACCTAAGCTGAATTCTAAAATGGGCTCATCTGGATCTTGTATATTTCCTGAATAAAAAAGAAATGATGAGGGGGAGGGGGCAGAATCACCCTTAATAAACTTTTCCTTGCATTTAGATTTTATTCAAAAGACCCAACATTCTACTCCCCCCACCAGTAACTATTACATGGGATAATTTCTTCATTTTCTAAACATTTTGCCTCTGAGATTCCTAAGAAGTCTCAGACTCCAAGACCAAACCACCCCCCTTCCTCAGCTCTGCACACCCCCAACAAGGAGGGCTTTGATCATGGCCTGGACACTTGCCTAACAGGCACTTGCCAGACGGGCACCGTGGACATTCCCATATCACCTACTGGCAAATGAGCCCTGGGGGTGCCCACCCAAGCTGGAAAACCGCCAGCAGTCAGACTGCAATGGAAGCAGTTCCCGGGAAGAGGGCTGACAGCCCCTCCCTCCCCAATCCCTGATTCAACCAGAAGAATGCCATAGCAGGGTGCCCTCCAGCCTGGGGCAGTCACTGGGGCTCATTCTGGTTGTCCGCAGGGGACTCCAGGAGGCAGGCAAGGCCCTCTCAGCACTGCTACAGTGCGGGGCCTGTGTCTGGTGACCTGGCCCCAGGAACCCGGAGCAGGCCCCGTGAGGCTCACCGGCCAGAGAGAGGCCCAGCATGTCGGCTGCCACATCAATGGTGGAAGCCCGCTGCATCGCACGGGCCCTGGCGCCATGGCGAGGGCTGTGCTCTCTTGCTGTCATGATGTCATTGGTGATGATGTGCTTCCTGTTCCTGGGCCAGACCACGCCTGATTCCCCGGGAAGTGCTGTCACCAAGCCTTAGTCCCCTAAGGTGGCAGTAGTCCTGAAAAAGAGGCACAAACACTGGTAAGAAACACAGGGACACTGACTGAGAGACCGTGCTCTCGTGGAGAGAGTATGTGCCTAACACGGGCAGGTGAAGAGCCAGGGCTGGAGAGTCTGATGACCTAAGCCCCTTCTAGTGACCTCTTCCTCTACACTCTCCAACACTCACAAGTGCCACCAACACACATGCCCACGGAATCACGTAAGGAAATCATGTTCTCTTCAACGAAGACATGCCACATTAAATGATGGTTTAGATATAATGATAAAAGATGGCTCTTGAAATTTTCTCCTTTGTTTTATTATGCTCTTCTGTTCACAAGTCTCACAGAATCTGTAAAATCAAATCAATTCACCTCTGTCAGAAGGATATGAGATGCATGGAGAGGTCTACCCCCCATGGCTATGACAGCATGGTGGAACATTGGAGAGACAAAGGCACATGTCTCCAACCTGCTCTCTTTCTTCCCAGAGCTACAGAAACCTCACATGTGTCTTGGGCTTGGGCTTGGGCTTGCCTTCCTACAATACATGTGCGTGTAATCTATGCCTGACTAAAGTGGATGGTGCTGTGTGCGATGGATAAAGAAGTCTCTGGCAAGTGCCACCACGCACTGAATCAGACGCCCTGCAAGGCACATAACACACACTGTACTCTAAGAAGTGGGTTAAGCAGCAAGAAGTGAGTTTCATGTTTTTCTAGCCCTCTCTGTGACAATTCCTGCTGTCTCTAGAGGAACCAACCTTTAGAAGTGAAGATACTTAGACTGTACAATAAGGCTGGTTTAGAACACTCCTTACAAAGGCCGCCATGTATCCAGGCACTCTTGTCTTCTCAAAGTGTGTCAACACCTGTGCCCCCAAAGGGCATCTGTTCCCACTCTTGAGTTAATATTCACCCAACAACTTACTGGACATGTTTGTTCTTGGACCAGTTGAGACACGTGGCATTTCTTCATAGAAGCACGTCCAAATCCATCATCTAAAAATAGAAAATTATAAACTTAACAAGCTAGTCAAACACCAGTTCTTGAGAATGCATATTATAATATTCACGTTATACTTTTAATGTGTAGACATATGGGGAAGCCAAGAGCTACTATAAGTTCCTTTGAGTTCCACAAAACAATCTAACCTTTTGGCTCAAAAGTAAAGGTTTTGCTGAAGCCCAAAAGAATGAGAAACAGAAAGTGCACATTCCCATTCGCCTCCCTCCCCAGGAGTGATCCGGGGAACATGGACCAGCTCTAAAGCACCCACAGTGCGGCTGGGATGTGGCTGAGGAAAAATGAGGAGAGAAGAATCTGAGTCCCAGGCGTCCTTGCTCACAAATGTCAGGCTCTGGAAGAAGCTGTGGGGTCCCTCTGAGACTCTGCTTTCCAGTGTCTGAGATGAGGCTAGTGGTACCCATCTCACAGGGCTGCAGTGAGAACTAAATGTGCAAAAACAGAACAGGGATCTGCCCTGCTGTGGCTGCCTGGCCCTTGGGTGCCTTCCTGTGGAGCAGAATACCCAGGCTCTGACTCAGTCCTGGGGGACAGTCAGAGTAGACCTCAGGACCCAGCATGTGAGCTACCTGAAATTGCTGGAGTCTGGGGTATAGACAACAGGCAAAGCAGTGTGCTTGGCCCTCAGGCAAACTCAGTTTCTCTTGCAGGCTGAGCTCCTATCCCTCCCACTGGAGCACCTAGGGATCTGTAGCCTGGGCACCTCAGCAGAGAGGGCAGTGGCCCGGCTGGGGAGTCACAGTAAAAGTCTCCAAGGGGAAGACTCACCAGTTTGCGGACATCAAAAGGCACACAGAGTCAAAATATGCAATGAAAATGGTAAAGACAGGGAAACTACTTGCAGTACTAATATCTAAAATTTATAGTAATGCTTGTACAAATTGACAAAAAAAACTCACTAAAAATGCAAGTAGCAAAGGTATGAATTCATAAAAGAGGAATATAGGTCGTAAACGTTTTTGGAAAAGTGACCAAACTCATTCCTAATAATTAAAGGAATGCTAAATACTCCTATATTCACCTAAAATAGTCTTCCAAGAGAGGTTTGTTTGTTCTTCTCATGAGAATATGCTTTGTTGGCAGACCTAGGGGAAACTCTATAGGATTCCTCTATATTGCTGATAATATTTTAAAGTGGAACATGCATTCCAGAAATTAATTTATCGAATTATTTATCACATCATTTATCAAAATTTATAAACAAAAACAAAATTCTTGCCAACAGGCCAAAGATGTTTATTGTAGCATTATTTGTAATGATCTAAATGCCCGGCTACATGTAAGTGCATTCTGGAACATCTATAAGATGCACTATTACATGCCTGTTTAAATGATCATGATAGGGGCACCTGGGTGGCTCAGTCTTTAAGCGTCTGCCTTTGGCTCAGGTCATGATCCCAGGGTCCTGGGATCGAGCCCCGTATCGGGCTCCCTGCTCTGTGGGAGGCCTGCTTCTCCCTCTCCCACTCCCCCTGCTTCTGTTCCCTCTCTCGCTGTGTCTCTCTGTCAAATAAATAAATAAAAATCTTTAATTAAAAAAAATGACCAGGATAAAGTTAATCAACACATGACAATTTCTTTGACCTCCTTAGGGATCAGGAAACCACTAATTATAACCACGGGATACCTCTGTACACTCGTTAGGATAACTAAAAATGGGGGAAAAAAGACAATACCAAGTCTTGGTGAGGATGTGGAAGAAACGGAACCCCGAGACACTGCTCATGGAGGGTAAAATGGCGCAGCCACGCTGAAAGACTGGCAGTATCTACCCAAGCTGAACACACACCTCCACCGTGAGCCAGTACGCAGCTCAGAGTGGAATTGCTAACAGAAATGTATATGTATGTTCACAAAGGTATAAAGAACATTTAGAGCATAACGTTCATAACAAACACCGGCAACAATCCAGACGTCCATCAGCTGTAAACGAAACAACATAGATGGCTTTTAGAAACGATGTCAAGGGGGAAAGCCAGTCACACGAGCGCATATCTAGGCAATTCTATTTCTACAAAGTTCAAGCACAGGCCAAACGAGTTCGAGGTGTTAGAAGTCAGGACAGCGGTATCTGAGGGGTGAGTACTGACTGGGGAGAGCACGTGGGGCCGGAGGAGGCCTGTGGGCTCTGGTAATGCTCTGTCTCCTGTTTTGGGTGCTGATTTCAAGACTGAATTTACTGTGTAAAAATTTTTTGAGCTGGACATGATTTTTTATACTTCAATAAAAAGCTTAATTATTTTAATGACTATAATAAAGACAACAGCATGAAGAAATGTTTATGTCAGCTCTGCGCCATGTTCCTAATGAAATATTCTACCTGTGTTCTGGTCACAGTTATTTAAAAAGATAGGACACAGGGCTCCTGGGCGGCTCAGTTGTTAAGCATCTGCCTTCAGCTCAGGTCATGATCCCAGGGTCCTGGGATCGAGTCCCACATGGGGCTCCCTGCTCCGCAGAAAGCCTGCTTCTCCCTCTCCCACTCCCCCTGCTTGTGTTCCCTCTCTCGCTGTCTCTCACTCTCCGCTGAAAACTAAATAAATCTTAAAAAAAATAAATAAGATAGGACACAGATTGGGGTGCCTGGGTGGCTCAGTTGGTTAAGCGCCTGACTCTTGATTTTGGCTCAGGTCATGATCTCAGGATTGTGAGATCAAGCCCTATGTTGGGCTCTGTTCTCAGCAAGGAGTCTGCTTGAGATTCTCTCTCTCTCTCTCCCCCTGCCCCTCCCCCTTTCTCTCTCTCTCAAATAAATAAACAAAATTTTTTTTTTACAGATTTTATTTATTTATTT